GAGTGTCCCACAAGAGTGTCCTACAAGAGTGTCCCACAAGAGTGTCCTACCAGAGTGTCACGTAAGAGTGTCCCACCAGAGTGTCCCACAAGAGTGTCCCGCAACAGTGTCCCACAAGAGTGTCTCACAAGAGTGCCCCTTGAGAGTGTCCCACAAGAGTGTCCTATAAGAGTGTCCCACAAGAGTGTCCTACAGGAGTGTCCCACAAGAGTGTCCTACAAGAGTGTCCCACAAGAGCGCGCGCACACATACGGGACCGATGCCAATGTTGGACTAATGACATGACCTATAAGAGAGTTTTACTCACTTCCGTTGTGTGTGTCTCATATACTTCTTGTTGACGCAGGTGAAACACAACAACGCACGGTCTTGCACTCCTATTTACAAGAAGATCAGACGCCGCAGTTGTGGATTTTTCTGTATTATGTGGACGGTTATCATTTTCAAGGGCTTCTTTTCGAGATTTTGGGACAATGCCATTGTTTCTTTCGTGATGTGGATCTGCCAGAACCTTTACGCCAGTGCTTGCTTTGAATGCAAAACGAAGACCCTTCATGACGAAGACGGAGCTTGGTGGTGAAGTCCCCAGCACATGCTGCCTTGGTGGTGGAGTCCCCAGCGCATGATGTCATGATGTCCAACAGCGTGCCGGAGCGTGAAAAAGAGACTCTAACCGGCTGTGTCTCTTTCTATACACAGTGGATTGACATATGTGTTTGCATTCGGGTTCGTGGGCTCCATCTTGTTTCAGAGCCTCGTATGCTTAGGTATGACGACAGTTGATGATTGAACTGCAGGATACTTTAGGTGTGTCTGCCATTGAAATCCAGAATTCATTGTTGAACGACCTTGTGCCACTTGTGACGCACACCAAGCAAAGACAAGGAACACAGCCTGGAACTGGAACACACTAAGAACTGAAACATCAGTTTCCGATGTCATGCAGTTTTGCGATGAACCCCTCATGCGTGCCAACCAATCGGGCAGTTTTTCGTGGCGCAGGTGGCGAATTGATGCCAGTTGGCCTGGTGCGGGCCTGCTGCGAATCCCTCAACGGTCAGCGGGCGGTGGCTGCTGCCGCTCAGGCCGCGCCAGACACTTGAGAGTGTACAGAACATAGCTGAGAATCTGAGAGTGCTGCTTGAGTTTCAGAGCCACGATCCTATGCAGTTTTTGCTTTTATAACGAAAGCTAGCACTAGCTGGAGTTGTTCTTGCTTTAGCAAGTGAGGGCTGGAATCCTTGAGAGTGCCGCATCGCGTGAAAACTTCATATTTTGGTGGGCCCTTTGTCGGGGGTTCAACTCCTCCCTGGGACATCTCTGGGACGTGTGCATTTCCGCTGGCATAGTGGGCCGACTGTCAGCCGCTTCACCCCCGCCCTGCAAGCTTTGGTCACCAACCCTAGGCCCTAAGTTCAAAACACCTTCTCTCAAGTGCTTTCTTTGGAGGCACAGTTTGAGACCTACATGTTGGAGTTGGTGAAGGACCTTTTGAAGGAGCTCAGAACCTTGGATTTGGAATAGATCTTGAGGAAAAGATATAATTCGACGCGCTGCTACAAAACAGATTCCTAGATGTGACTTGCAATGGGTGGATAGCCAGTCGGCACATCCAAAGCGCAATGTCTCATAAATGTTCGCATTGCCGCGGGATACATGTGTGCTTTGTCAACCTCACTGTGTTAGTATCGCTCCCAGGTCCTTTAGGCCTGCCACGACCAGAAGGTCTCGTACTTACAGGCTCAATTTGTCCTTATGCCCCCTATAGTCTGATATTCTCTTCAAAGTGTCATGCAGCATTTGAGGTGGTTGAGCTGACTTGGACAAACATTGCAAAACCTATGTAAAGTTAATTACTGCAGTTGTTCCCAATTCAGCAGTCCAGCAGGGATCAACACCATAGTGTCAGAGAGAATGCAGGTTCTCTGACACGAACGCATGCTTTCCAGCTACTGTATTTTCGCCCGCAGGTGGCTGTGCGCTCAATGTATTGGCCAACCAGGTCATCTATGACACCCTCTCCGACCCTTTGGCATCAGATTTGTCAAACCACACACACAGCCAAACAATTCTTCCAAGGCAGTTTGCAGTGCAAGTGCTTGTGCTGCTTTGACTGTTTTGATGTTCTGGTGGTCCTCGAGATACGTCACCACTTCTGACTGAGGAGAATGCCAAAGATCCGATCGTCACTTGGACCGTTTTAGCCTACCTCCCTGTGAGACGAAAAGTGCAAGTGAGCTGAGTTCACCTGAGAGATACCAATAAGGCCATCCTTTGACATCCAACAGCTTGTAGATCAGGGCAGGCTGTTCGCCTACTTATTTTCAGGTGAAGCCAATACACAGGTATCTATGACAGCTGGCCTCCCCAGGCCTTTTTGAGGATTCCCCGTTGACCGTGCAGACAGGGCATTTATGTGCCAGCTGCGCCCAACGATTCTGGACTTTCTGTCGGAGGTGCCTGGTCCCTGGTGCAACCAGCAGAGAAGCAGCAGCTTCAATATGCTTCTCGTTTGCAGGTCTTGAAACCCATGATCCCAAAGAGACGCTTTCTCCGGTTCTCTTGGGAGTATTCCGATGTTTCACCTCAGTTTGAGATGATTGGGACAAAAGACTGAATATATCGAATTCACCGCCTTGAGAGCTGGTTTCAAGAATGTGTCAGCGGGAAGATGTGCCAGTAATAAGCCGAGGCCGGTTTCCGACTTTGGGAATCTGGCCGGCAATATGGACAGCAATGGAATCCCCAAAGTCTTATTGTTACTAAAGTAAGGCACTTGTTTCTACTAGCTTCTTGTTACTACTAGTAAGGCGCTTGTTACTAGTAGCGATGCACTTGTTCCTAGTATTAATAAGACGTTTAGGAGATTCATTTTGGATCATGTGCAAGGACGACTCGATACTGGAGAAAATGGCAGTGGCTTGGGGCGCTCGGCGCTTGAGTGAGATGGGTGGCGTGAACTTCCTGGCGGAGCTTCTCAGTGGCTTGCCAACTTGAAATCTCCGAGAGAGCTCGAACGATCCGATTAACTGCGAGCCCTCGGTCTGCCCCAAACAAACAGTATAAGTTGCACATTCAACCACAACCTTGAAGAAGTGCAATTTTCAGCCCCTATGGGCCCAGAAAACCTCAGCAATAATAAGGTTGGCCCGGCCTGTGGTACTTTTCTTTTGTGGAGCTGCCCTTCTCTCTCTATCTTTCTTTCTCTTTCTGATTTTCGTTCTCCCTCTTCCTCTCTCTCTCTTTCTCTCTCTTTCTCTCTTTCTAGACTTTCTTCACTTCAATGGCTTGACAGAACCTAATGTGAACTTCTAGCTCTTGCCAAACTTCGGAACGATGGCGCTGCGTCCTCACAAAGGCACTGGTCCACCTGGTGAGAAGCCCATTGTGGCCGTGGTTCGTGGGCGGCAGGAGCGCCTTGAAGGATATATAAATCTATATATCTATATATATATATATATTTTTTGTCAATAGGGATGGGGTCCCAGTATAGTCGCTATACAGGTACGTGCCATATACTTTTGGCTCAAGTGCCCAACCAGGTAAAAAGGAGCTTTAGCGCGCGAGCTTCATGTTGACCTAAGAGCTAGAACGGGGCCAGGGCACACCTTTCCATCCGTTCGCATTTTTAATATATATATATATATCATATTGTTCATTGTTCAAGCAGCTTCAAACACCACAAGTTAAGGCTCAAGGCTGGTCTCAGTTTGTCAGGACACATTTACTAGATACCCAGCTACTGTAGTATCTAGTTGTTCCCAGACCTACAACTTTTTATCGATTTCATGAGTTCGCTCAGCAGCATTGCTGATCTTGTGAGGTTTGGTCCCCGTGCCCTGGGCCATCGATCTTTGCTGGCAGTCCCAGATTCCGCGCTGATGAGGGATCGTGACTTGATCCATTGGGCGGTCGGTGGGCTGTTTGACTCTCAGCGTTTGACTCTCAGCCTGCCGTTGAACAGGAACACCATGGAACACCCGTATCTTTCATAGATGGCTGCCGATTTGCCATTTGCACTCTTGAGAGGCACCGTTCTTTGCACCCTCCAGGGCAATTACAGTTCCCTCAGCTTTGAAGATTTTGAAGTTTCATATCCCACTGCCAGGCATGAACCGTTTGAAAGGCAGGCAGCACCTTGGTTGCAATCAACTGCCTTCAGGCTTCAAGAGGATTTGATCGTGTCCAAGTTTGGGTGAACAAAGCTTGTCGGCAGACTCGACTTGATTACTTCGACCGCGCCAAGAGTGCTGGATGGTATCCAGAATTGTTTGACATCTGCCATGGCTGCCTCATTCTGTCATTCGTTGTATCACCAAATGCCCCCTTGCTGTGCCTTTTAAAGGGATCGAAGAGCAGAACTTCTGAGGTGGTTCCGGCCGGTTGCGCCCATGATTGCTGACGAAGCCTTGAGACAGGTCTTCGGCCGAGAGGTGAAGTCACCGCAGCATGGCGAAGATCGACCACGCATGTTTTAAACTTAACAAGCGCGTGAAGTCACCGCACCACTTCCGATCCAATTCCACCTGAGTCTGGGGTGGAAACTTCTCCGCAAAAATATTTTCACCCGTGACTTTGTGGGTAAGGATTGAGATGGACACATTTTTCCTAATATATCTTGGATCATTCAACCATGTGGGTATAGTATAGCAGCTAGCATCGGGGGAGGTTCAACAGCCTCAGTAGCTCAATAGGAGGTCGCTGCCTTTGTTCCTCGCGCAGGAGTAGGTGCCCATTGTGATGATTGATTGATTCGATCATTTTGGTTATGTGTCTTTTCACACCCCCTTCTGTGCCTCTCGCCACATCAGCATGTGCTAGGTACATGTCCATGGCCCCTCGAGTTCTGGAGGAGGTGCTCAAAGAATTTCCTGCATTGGCACATTTGGATGGCACAGCTCGCCATCAGTCAGTAGGTCGCTCGGCCTAGAAGTATTTTCCGCGAGTCCGGAGCCTTTTCACATCCTCACCTGCATGTCAGTCCCCAAAAAAGGATCGAATAAAATCACTCATGCACCGATGCAGAATCATGCACTACTCAGTTACAAATCAATTATATAGTACTTATAATTCTAGTTGGAGAATGGATAACTATGCATCCAGTCATCACACTGCAGGTCTTCACATGCTCAGGAGGCTGACGGCCTTAAGTTCCAACTACTTCTTGGTCTTTTTTTGGTTTCAGAAGAAGCGGCAACAGGATTAGAGATCCAAGCCTGGTTTATATGATCGCACATGCACAAATGATTGCAACAGCCTTTGCATGTCTTCGCATGCCATTTCTGTCCAGAATGTTTCATTCACTGTGGAGAGACGCATTGCCAGCTGCTTCATGTTGAACCAATGAAAACAGACCACGAAAACCACAACTACGCGATAACTTATCAAGCGACAAAATCCTGATGATCTCTAGTTTGTCACCGGGCGATGGGGAACTGTGAAGAACAAGTCGACTCCATGGGGCTGACTATTGAAGCCCACCCCAGCATACATGGCAAAGCTGCAGAAAAGACTGAGTTAAACTGAAACAAAGACAGGCCTTAAGTAAGGTGGCGGGGCTTTTGCGACCTGAAATGATGTCAGGTGCAAAAGATGAGCCCTGGGTACATGCGCTGCTGCTGGCAGTGGGAAAACACACAGGCTTGGCAGCCTTGATCAACACTAGCACCTTGGACTGACACATTGACATGGGGTAGGGAGGCAGCCAGAAAGGCAAAGAGCGTTTGGGCGTTTGGTTGGTTTGCCTTTGGGCATATTCGGGCCCATTCGGGGCCTTTGGGATCCTTCCAGCATCGCTGTGGACAATGCCAGCCTCAGCAATCGGGACAAGCAGGGCAGCTATTCACCGAGCAATGATGCTACATTTGGTGTTGGTCTCATTTTAGGGAATCCTTCAACAGTGCATCGCTACTAGTCACAAGGGCATCGCTACCAATGTTGGATCTTAATTAGCAAACCCCCCCCAGCAAACAATCCAGGGGGTCTGAAGAGGTGGTAGTGGTAGTGGTAGTGGTAGTGGTAGTGGTAGTGGTAGTGGTAGTAGTAGTAGTAGTAGTAGTAGTGGTCGTCGTCGTCGTCGTCGTCGTCGTCATAGAAGAGATATATAAGTAAGGATTTGCAAGGGCATCAATTGCAGAACAATAATAGAGTTAGATCTTTTTCCAGTAGGGCTCCGAGTTTGCTTGTTAATCCCATCCCCTAAACAATTAGATATTATTCACTTCCCCTGGGCTGGTGTACTACCCCCTTGAAAATTGTTTGGAGCAATGACATCGTTGAGTTTTACTAAGCGTTTTTGAAAACGATTTCCAGGTCAGAATTCCATGAATCAAGCAAACCTGAGAAGAGTTAAGTAAGGATCTTAAGGGAGGAGCAATAGCAGAACAATAGAACAGCAAACAAAGACAAAAAAATACCCTGGGTGAAAAAACTCTTTGCTATGCCGTCCCATTAAACTAATCAGGGTGTGTGAATAATTTGGCGAACACTTTTTTCTTATTCCGTCCCACTATTTCAATACTAAATAGGATGCAACATTAGTATCAAGGGCATCGCTTCAAACATCTTCAATACAATCAAACCTGGGTGCGTGAGGTCCATGCTCGCCCCCACGAGTTTTCTGGCAGTTGAGGTTTCAACTCCAAAGGACGTCCGATTGCTAACACGGTGAAGGAGTCCTTGGATATGTTGCGAGAGCTTTCAGATCTCGATTATGCACCTTGGGTAAAACATGGTAAAACCTCAGGTCCATCGCCCATGCCAATTTGTTTTCTTATGTTTTCTTGGATTTTGCATGTCTCAGTTCATAATTGAAGATCTGAGGGTCAAGCGAGGGTGAAACACAAAAGGGTCATACTTCACTTGTTCTGACAGGCGTTTTTCTTTCTTGGATTCAACATCGGCAGTAGAAGACAGCCGCATCCCTCGTCTCCAGAAGACAGCCTCAACACAAATTGAATTGTTGGCTTGAGGTGCTCATTGAGGATTGGCTTTTCAAAGCGCCTGGCAGACAATAGCAATGCCCTGTTGTGGCAAGCCTGTACATGTTGTCAACATGCTGGCGCAGCGCAGCCAACATCGGGTGGAGCTCTTTGGTGATGACCAATATGCTCAAGTCGGAGAGCTGCGGCAACCAGCATGCTAAGGCGTAACATGCCAAAAAGCCTCGCGCAGCATGCTTTGTGAGCAATTGGCTTCCAACCCATCCATCCACCACTGAGATCGTAACTTTGGCATTCTTGTTGGCATAATTGAAGCTTGCTAGTCCAGCATTGCCATGTGCAAAGCTATATTGATTTTGGTGTATGTCATATCGCTTTTGTGCTGTTGGCTTCAGCATGGGGATGGAGTGCGGCTCGTGCAGAAGCAATGGGAATCCGCATAGTTCAGCATGCTTTGATCTCAATCGTTTCTTGTGATCATGAGTTCGGATTGACTCACCCCTACATGGTTAGAGAGAGAGAGAGAGAAAGAAAGTGTAATTCTGCGTGCATGTGCCCTCAGACTGAAAAGCATGGCCTCTCTTTTTGCGGCAAACCTATACTATGTGTACAGGTACGTATGTTACTGTATATACATCATATACACATATATAATTATGTTTACACATTCGGGCCGCTTCGCGAGAACAACCGCTCGCACCATTGGCTCTTGCATGGGGTTTCTTACAATCACTATTTTGCAACCCGCTTGAGTTGTATATTTTTCACCGGGTCCAAGGCAACTTGTAAGAGGGTCCAAAAGCAGAGTGATTACAAGACCTGTGGTCACACTCGGGGTTCCTACGGTAATAGAAAAGCAGGTGTGCTTAGATCGCTGTTCCGCTTGGGCGTGAACGGCTAATTCATTGCTATTTACAGTGCATTCACGCCTCTCGACATCATCAATGTACATTTCGACTGCGCAGGCTCGCAGAATCTGTGGGCCCACGGCGGGTGCTTCTAGCGACTGCGCTCTTGTTGTCGTGCCGCGCGCATTTTTGCACATGGTGGTCACTTTTCGTGGCAGGCGCAAGGGAAACCTCGTGTTTTGGTGCTCCAAAGCCGAATTTTCGTGACAGGTGCAAGGGATCGGAGGTCATTTACTTCGAAATGCAGTTGTCGTGGCAGGTGCAGCGCTTTGGACATGGTGGTGATCGTCGAGGAGTCGAGGAGCTCAGATTTCGCGACAGGTGCAGTGAATCGTGACTTTTGGACATGTGGCTCGATTGCAGATTTCGTGGCAGATACAGCACTCTGTGACCCTCGACGCGCAGATTTCGTGGCAGGCGCAGCACTTTGTGAACTTCGAAGTGCAGATTTCGTGGCAGGCGCAGCACTTGGTGAACCTCAAAGTGCAGATTTCGCGGCAGGTAGAGCACTTGGTGAACCTCGAAGTGCAGATTTCGTGGCAGGCACAGCACTTGGTGAACCTCGAAGTGCAGATTTCGTGGCAGGCGCAGCACTTGGTGAACCTCGAAGCGCAAATTTCGTGGCAAGCGTAGGATTTTGTGAACCTCGATGTGCGCTCTCACTCTCACTCTCACTCACCCACTCTCACTCTCACTTTCACACTCACACTCACACTCACTCACTCACTCGCTCAGTCACTCACTCACTCAGTCACTCACTCACCCACTCACTCACTCACTCACTCACCACGATCCCCACCTTCATCACCACCATCACCTCTCTGCACCGCAATGTGTCTAGATCCCTAGACTTTCCGCTTATAGACCTCACACACACTGTTTGGGGTCTCTTGCCGGGACAACATTTTTCATCCGCTCCACGCTGCGTTTATCTCTAAGTCTTGCCTCGACCATGCACATTGTATTGCTTTCTGTGCGTAAACACTCTATGTTTCGAGCCCTATAAATTTTTCAGGGGGTCCAAAATATGCACAACTGTCTGTATGTTTTTATGTATATATATATATTTTTTTTGCAGGCACTGTTGGACACAAGTCGGTCCCCGGAAAAGCTTCTTATTTCCAGTGCGTCTAAAATTTAAGTGATCACGCGCAATACACTATACACTTGCAACCAGCTGATGCACACTATGAAATGATTAGAGATATATGTGCTAAGAAGTAAGCTGTTGAGACGAGTCGTTTGTTTGCCTTTCATGGGCCTGGTGATGCAAGTGGTGCAATAATGAGAGAGACAATCAAATAGCAACCAGCTGATGCAAATGATGCAATCATGAAAGATATACTAAGACATGGTCTGTTGAGAGGAGTCCTTTGTTTGCCTTGCATGGATCTGGTGATGCAAATGGCACGGTAATGAGAGAAATCGTCTGGCATGTATGATAATGATATGTGAAGACTATATGAGCGACGGAAAAAATATTGCTTGACCTATTTAGTCACGGCATGACCCTAAACCTATGTTGAGGGCTTTGTTTCTGTGGAAAACGATATGGTCCCCACCAAAAACGATAATTTTGTTAAGATGTAGCAGGTACAAAGACGTTTGTGGTTACAATATGTTATTGCATTTGCATGTTTATTTGAGCAAAAGCCGATGGGCGCAACTGTTCATCAACGAGAATCCTCAACGAGAATCCCGGACAACTTCCCAAACGATAATCCAAACAATAAGCGAACGATAACCTAAATGTCACGCCAGGCACTCCGTAGACCTACTTCTCCACATTACTAGTGGTTGTTCATGGGTCGAGCTACTAGGTCCCCGCTTATGTGTTGTGATCCTTGCGCAGCCCAGTGCCACACGAACCCAAGTGCATAAATAAAGTGCTGTGCCATTCCTGTGCAGAAAGCACTGTAAGCCTCTAATCTGAGGTTGTGAATGATATTTTGTGATTTAGTCTATGTGCCGCTATGCTATGCTAAATACGGTTTGGAGAACATTGGAGAACGATATGGACCCCACCAAGTAATTTGGCTACACAAGTAATTTTGTCCGCTGATCATATGTTTTTCATTGTTTTTCAATGTTTTTTTTCCATTCCCACCCCTCTTCCAGACTACCAGACACACCTTGTGATACCGGATACGCATTTTCGTTCCCAAACGAAAATGCACCCCCGTAGCCAAGACTATCGCACCTCAGCACCTTCAGCGCGGGTATATATATATATGTGTGTGTGTGCGCACTTCTTTATACAGAAAAGCGTGCTGTGGGGGCCTTCGTTTTCCAGTGTTTCTAAAAGGCCATTGTTTTCAATAAAATCACTTATATATATATATACTGGGGCGCACTTAACGATGTCAAAATTTCATTCCTGCATTTAAACATAATTGCTGCTGGGACCGCAGCTCGGAAGTACTCAATGATGAATCCAATAAAATCAATCAATAACATTAAAGCCCGAATAGAACAGGTGGGTTAACCTGCCCATGGGACAAGGGCAAAGGAGACCCTCATGCAGCCAAACCGGAGATCTGTCATGCAGCCAAACGGTCCTGTAGCCGTAAAGCTCACTTCTGGTTGTTAAATGAACAATCGGTCAGGCAGCCAGGCTTCACGCCCCTCTCTCTCCTACTCTCTCCTTTGATAGTGGACCATCTCCCCCAATCCGAACTTAGAATTGAAAATAATTCACCTATTCAAAAAGTTTCATACCTGCACTTAAGGAAATCACCTCAGTAGTGACAGGGCTTGGTATGCCCTCCCCTTAGTGCAGTCGGTAGCGCTACCGACTGCAGTAAGCCTCCATGTGATTCCCTTAAGTGCAGGTGAAAATAATTCAGGGATGCTTAAATCAATGCAAAAACCATGCCCCATTGATTGAGAGCCATGGGCTTACTGAGGTCGGTAGCGCTACCGACCTCCCTAAGGGGGGGGTATGGCATGCCCTCCCCTTACTGCACTGATTTCCTTAAGCGCAGCTGCATTTTGAAAATAAATAGTTTCAATCAGGGTGACCAGCAAGAAAAGAACATATCATCCGCCGAAAGTCCAAACAGTGGTCAGAGACTTGACTTTCCACATGTTCTAGAGAATCATATCCTTGCTTGAATGTGTAGACTGTAGACAGAGATTCAATAACAGCACTGCTGCTGTAAGTTTGTACGGATGGTACTAAAGAGCACATGCTTGTTCCATGCCCTACCGAATCACAACGGGTCCTAAAGAGAGAAAGCTGTGACTTTCACGGGGTGCCCTATGTTTGGGGAGTTCAATCCAGACATCCCAGCCTTCTCCCCAACTCATAGGGAGATTTAAACATGTCAAAAATAAGGGAAGTGATTTTTTTGACTTTGTTAAGTGCAGGGCAGCATATAGACATATATGTTTTTACTTTTCCTATATTTATTTTTGTTAGCTATTCAACAAAGAAAGCATTTGTGAAACAATAACAAAAGCTTATGTGCCACACAATGTCACAATGTAGGCAAGGAACAAGGACCTCTTAATCTGAAGGTGGAAGAGAGGGATCTCTGGGGGGGGGAGCCAAAATTTTTTTGGCTCGACCACCCCCCCTCCAAACTAGGAACCTCTAGACCCTTGTGTCTGTAGCTTGGAACATGTGATGCAACACCAGCTGTTTCACTAAAGACTTCATATCCATTGTAGAACAGGCCCAAATATAGTAAAAAACGCACACAATCTTCATGAACTTCTGCTTCATCCAAGTCCAAGGCAATTATATCTTCAATAAAGCAAAGAAAACTCTCTACAAAAAAGCACTTTTGACCCCAACGCCTTATCGCCTCATCTCCAACCATGACAAAAACCATGTAAACAGTTAATTCACTGTCCTGTGTATCTTCCGCATGAACTTATGCTTTGTCTGGGTTCAAGGCAGGTAAGAAAAGCAACATATTCAACGACAGCTTTTCTGTGACAATCAGCATTTCTTCTTTGCGTTGCATATTGTTGTCAATGCTCAGAGAATTGTCTTGTTGCATTGTGAAGACTTTTTAGCGCATTCTTTGGATAAGGGGCCATGTGCATTTGCTGCCGTCTCCGTCAAAGCAACTTGTTTTTGTACTCCCCTCATTTGTTGCTCTCGGTGGCCCACATGGCTTCCCGCTCTCAAAGCCTCGAACGAGAACTGGGCAGGATGATGGATGAGTGTCAGGAAGCCACAATGCCCGAGGAGCATGCGGAAGAACTACCTTTGGTGCGAGGGCAAGAAGGCGAACTCATTGGCAGTGGAGGAGTTTGACTACATCTTTGTTTCTGCAACCACCGGCTTCTGCGCTTCTTTTCTGCGCTACCACGATGCGTTGCAGTTCCGTGGGTACGTCAGTTCTAAAGCCATTGCATGGGCGCAGCTGACTAGCCTTTGGCCTGATGATCACTCACATCAGCGCTTCAACCAAGATTATGGCCAAGCACGTCTCCTGAATTGGTTGGTATGTTTTTTTTGGTTTCTGTTGCCAGGCACCTTTGAGTTATATACATTTTTTCATGTTGCCTGCTTGATTCTGAGGCTTGCTCTTCCATGTCATCGCGGAGTTTAAGGACATGTGGAAGCTTCATTCCCGGAAGGACAAAGAACGTCTCCTGCGAAGCATTGAGATCGACAACCCCTTGCAGCTTGCGCACCTGTGTGAAAACCATGTTTGGTGGCAGCGAATTGCAACTCCCAAGTCTCTGGCCTCCAGCGTCCGTGAATTTGCCATGGACGGTCACGAAAAGATTGCTACAGCCTGTGCCGATAACCCTCCTAAACATGGCGGCCGTCCTCGCTCAGATGGGGCCATTGCTACAGCCGTCCTCGCTTAGATGGGGCCGTGAAGATGTCGAATGATGGTTGGTTTATGGCGACAGATCCAGCGACTGGGTGCATTTTGGGGTTGTCTTGAAGTTAGTCTCGGAGCTTTTGCCCCTCTACAAGAACTACTGGACCATCGACAAGTTCCACGCACGTGGACACGGTCCCGACTGCAAGTGTTCACTGCTCAATCATAAGCGGCTTGAGCGGAGATTGAAGGAAGTTAACACTTCGATCTCATGGTTCAGGGGGTACTCCAGTACATTCAGTTCCATGAATCCCAATGTGCAGCTGTTTTACGTCCTCGCCTATGCTCGGCGACGCAATGCCATGGAAGCGGACGGGGGCATCGAGCACCAAAATCCTTGGCCTGCGCATAAGCAGGCCATGAAGAAGGCGGCCGCTTGGAAGAAACCTGCCAGCCACAGCTACAATTGCAAAGCAGTGGCCAAGACTCACGTAAAGAAGAAACCAGCTGCTAAGAAGTAGCCTGGAGATTCTGATTTGTGAGTATGACATCTATAGAGAGCTCTTTGTTTTCCTGTGAGTGTCAGCTAGAGAGCCATGCAAATGCAGTACATGACTACAGTACAGATGGGAGGTAGTCACAAGGGATGTACGGTTATCTTGAAGGAGCTCTGTGCAGCCAGTTCACTTGGGGGAAGGAAAAATATTGCCTGAGCGTCTTGCTTTGAGCTGATTTGTTTTCGAACTTGTGCCGTTCACTGACGGTCATGTGAAATTGTAGGCTTCCCGTAGAACATCTTCACCACTGTGAAACCACAACATATTAGCGTCAGTCAGGCCACATCTGCAACGTAGAAAATATGAGGCTTCAAGTAGCCTTGGCCTTTCGCAACTTCGCATCAATCACAGTCATCGCAAATGGGCCCAGCAGGTCCTTCTTTGATTAAGTGTCAAACATGCACAGCTGCATCTACATGTCCCTCAACTCCAACTTCCACTTTCATCCCTTGACACAGGTTGCTATCTTCTTGGAACATGTGATGCAACAACAACTATTTCACTACTGTTATCATCCATAACTTCTGTGGCTGGCACCTGTGATGCAGACAGCTTCCCCTGCTCTTATCATCAGGTGTCTGTAGCTTGGAACATGTGATGCAACACCAGCTGCTTCACTACTCTTAGCATCAATTCTTGTGTTTTTGAAGCTTCATATCCTTTGTGTAACAAGCCCAAAAATAGAAAAACACACACACAAACACTGAAAAACACGGGCCCTCACAGCGTTCCTCTCTCTTTTTATACACAAGTTGTTTGCATGCACAGGCGCGCCGGCGTGCAACCCAAACCGTTCCAATAACAAATTATGTAAGATGTTGGAATAGGCCGGGAGTTTTACACTGCATTTTCAAGTTCCAACATTTTCCTTTGGACGTAAGACTTCCCGATTCTGAGGCGGCTGCAGCACGTGATTCGGTGGTCTCTGGCTTCTTCAACTTCCTTCATTCTGGAAGGTGCGGGGCTAATGACGCTTGATTTCTACTACTACCTGTACATGCAAAGGGCACCAAATGTGTGAAAGTGGTATGAGATGTGATCTCCACTAGCCATAGCCAGGTCCGGCTATGTGCTTCTGTGCGGCTTGTCTTTAAGAAGGATGGCGGTGATTTGATGTGATTTGTGGGTCCTGACATGGCTGGGTGCCACCAAACCTATTTCAGTCTTTTGATGCTTTATGGCAAAGTGTTCCTCATGGCCTTCTGGCCCCGATTGGTGGGGGAAGGCAGAGGCAGACTGATGAGGGATGTTAGTTGATACGTGACTCCTCAAACTGAAGCAAGGCTTACTCTGTGGCAGCTGGCTGGGAGACCAGCCCCACGCTTTTTGATCACACTTTTGCCCAGATGACCTCTGAAAACAATGATTTTTCAAGTCCGCCGTTTCTAGCTTTAAGCTGCTGATGGCCAATTCTTTCTTGGACGTTTTCTATCCTTGTGGTGCTGCAAGTGCTGCCGCAACAAAAGGCACCAAGTACTTGATGGAGCTCTTCACAGGAAGGGCGTGCAAGGATGAGTAGAGAAGAAAACCGCTGAGAGAGCAACTAGCATTGCCATCCGCTCAGGTGGCTTTGCGCTGTTGGTGCTTGCTGGGGCCGGGAAGCGCAACTGAAAGGTGGCAGGTGTTTTGAATTTTGAGCAGTGACTGCCATCAAGCCGATCGTGACACTAGAGGTAGCGGTAAACCTATTTAGTGCCAGACTCTAGAACGCAAGAGCCGCCGGAAGATTACAATTTAGTTTTGCTGCCATGTTTTTTTTCTCCGCTATCTAGGTTTGTTGTTTTTGTCATCGGAGATGAGCAGGAAGTCGGTGAAATGAGAGCTTTAAAATACGGTAAACTTTACTGTATCCAGATCGAAGCCTCACCATCATGCAGTTCCAAGCTCGGGCAAAGTGACAAGTGCAAAAGAGTTTCGGCAAATGCAGCAGATCCCGGAAGATGGTGGGTTACAATGCGAACAGCGATGCTGAGAACTCTTGCGCAATCGGTGGACCCGCCAAGTAGCTGAAGTCCCAAGGTGTGGTGTAGTCGCGTGCAAGGGTCCTTTGGTGTGGTTTTCCTTCTCCTTTTCCCTCAGAATTGCTGTTCGAGGGTCAGTAGCCAGCGGGAAGGTAAGAGACTTCCACAAGATCTCATCAAGGTTGTGAAAATAAATCGAGACAGAGTTTGGGAGCGAGGGAGGTGGGAGGGAGGGAGGGAGGGAGGGAACAGTAACTGTACTCAAACCATCTCAAACCATTTTCAAAGGAGCAAAGCCGGCCAGCATGGCTAAGCTCAAGGTCATGATGGTGGCGACTTTCGACAGCCGAGAAGCGAGAGCAGCACCGCCGGGCTGGGCCGGGGCACCCTGTTGGAGTGGGGAAAGCATCGGGAAACCATCAGCAAAGCATTGATCAAAGCATCCGTTGTTCTTCAAGACCGCCTTCCCCAAAAACTTTCTGAGTGGCATTTGCCAGTGTCATTTATGTTCATTTGTTAGTTTCGTCACGAAAGCCGGCAGGCTAGCGGAGTTGTAGATGCAATTTGGTGATGATGATTCATTTGAGTCCATTGTTAGTTATGGGGTGGGAGGCAGGTGTGGACGGTCCGGCGGGGCTTTTGTTCTTTTCGATACATTGCCCGCGACGAAGTACCCGATCGCAGAGGTTGGCTTCCAAGTTCGTTCTGCGCCGCTACGCCAATTGCGGAACATCGACACCAAACATGATAAACCATGTAAACAACGCCAACTTGTTTGGTTCCAAAGTGCATGTTTTCCTACCCCCAAGTGAATTCTCGAACTGCATTTTTGTGGATTTCATTTTTGACATGTCTTTTTTCGCATTGTCAACAGCCTCGTCAACTTGACTACCTTTCTTTCTCATTCTTTCTCCACGCGCTGCAGTCCTTTGGAATACTGCTGGAGAAGCGGCATGGAAAGCTATCCATCCAGTGAATGTAATGACTGCTCCCATGGTGTCCAACATGAACCCGCAAATTGACACAAAAGAGACACATTGCCACATTGCCGTACATTTCGCCCAAGTAGGAATGTGAAAACCAACACAAACAATGCAAACAAACACATGCACCAGGGATTGCAAAAAGAATGCACCTCCAAAACATTTACTGTACCTCAAAACATTGACAAGCAATGCCCAAAAAACAATTAAACATGCCAAATGCAAAACACATGCACATTTGCTGCAACCAGTTCACGTGTCTTCCGTGCCTACTTTTCTTGTGGCATTGATTTTTAGACGTGCACTTTTCTATTTTTTTGTCGCATTCGTGTTTGAGCTTGGTCAATCCGGGGCAAGTTTGGCATGTGTTGGCTGCCAGGTCCTTACATCAGATGCACTTTGGAGCTTTGAAGCGTCTTGATATCAGAAGCAGGATGGCAAGTCCCAGACCGGAGGTTTTCACTGCCTGTTTTTCCAGCCATAGCGTCGAGCGCCGAACCAAACCCAAAACTCTCACGCCATCTCACGCCTGAAAAAGCACGTACCAAATGCAAAACACCAACACACCACAAACGCTGCTTTGGATGCAGTTTGGACACCCTAAGAGTTTCAAAACACTTGGAATGGACAAAAACAACGACGTTTTGATAGCTTGAATGCAGCAAACACCTTGAGGTGCCATCGCAGGACGTTTGTCACTCCTTCAAGATTTCCCCAAACCCCGTCAATGCCAACATTCTTTTAGCAGGCGTGCAGTCAACACTGCAATTTCCTTTGTTGCTTGGGAGGAACTGTCTTTTTGGAGGGCCGTCGATCTCATGTTGGGAGCCAACAAGGCACTGGTTCGTCTATTCCTTTGGGATAGCGGAGCTACGCGAGGAAGATGAACATGGACACCGCCAAGTCTGTTCGGATATCCGCTTGCGGCTTTTAAGAGGACACATGTTGCCTTCGCCACATCACACGTCAGAAAAGATGGAAGATAGTAGAGAGCAAGAAGGCCGACAGGGAGAAGAGGAACGGAGAGGAGAAACACGAAACTTGAACAACACATGGCATCTTTAACGCAACAAAACAGACATGCCCTCCGATGAGCGACTGCAAACTCGAGCCCCCTGCAAACACAATCCTGCTATCAGAAATGCGACCAGAATATTAGAACCCTCGTTCCCTGGCAGCTCATGGAGTGACACGGAGTGACGCACATGTGGGGCGGGAGAGTAGGCGGTTGCGAGTTTGGAGGCAAAGGCAAGTCAGTGTCTTCGTTGTTTGTCCCTCGTATGTTTCAGCCATATTTTTCGACATTCGTTTTCACATGTTTTTTCACCCGTTGTCATCTTGAACCGAGAATTGAACCGAGAAAGGGTTGCGAAAGATTTGCCCCAGCTGCTCCTGCTTGCCTAGGAACGGTTCGTGGCTGCAACAAGCTCCAACCAGAGCTTGCCTCAGTTAGTAGAGCCAGCTAACTGCTAAGTGTTGAATGACGCTGTCACCAACGAGATTTGCACTGTTGCTACACTTGAAGTAGCGGAATACGGAAGGGTTCAGTCCAGTTCCAGCACTTGTGCCACAGGTGGTTGAGGTTGGCCAGCACTATGAATGATACATGCATACTCCAGCCTTCTATTGGGGCAAACCCCCGTGGCAACGGAGTGGCCCCTTCTGAGCCAGTGATCTGAACATGAGTCAAAGCTGCTTTCACAAAGTAGCTTCACAGCAGTTTGAAAGAATCGCCCATGAATCTGAAGAACTCTTTGACACTTTGTGGTGGTGTGATGTGTTTAGATCACATGATTTTCAAGACCATGCTCGCAGCATCAGATGCTTCGAGAACATGTTTGTTGAAGGGATCTCTCCTTAGGATCACAGTGTTGTTGTTCATGATTGTTCATACGTGTCCATCCCAGTTACACTGTTCTTCTCTCCATTTGATCACCTTGTGAGCCTTGCTCAGGTGGGTTTCTTGCGCCTTCCTGCTCTCTGCGGCTTCCATTGTGCTCAGTGATGCCGCTCAGGGACGTAGCAGACTGATGAAGAGTGGCCGGAAGGAATTGTTGAATCCTTCGTCAGTAAGACCAAGCTCATTCCAAGCCGCTAAGCGGCAGCCCTTCCTCGAAGGTCGCACGACACACTCAAGTGAAGTTATCCTTCGTTTTCCTGGATTCGGTGCCGGACTCAGGCATAAACTATTTGCCTCGTCTGGAAGGTGAAGGTTGAGGCTTGGTTTCTCTCACTGTGGCAATCGACAAGGTAACATATTTGCTGCAGCTTGAGAGCAATGCTTACATTTTGACAGAGGGGCAAACAGGTTCTGTGAGACGTTTGATGGAATCCCAGCAGCAGCTGCCTCTTGCTGTGGGACTTGGGCCGCTTCCATATGGATGCCAACGGCATAAAGGGCACGGGTCATCTCATTTCGGACTGAATCTTAAGCAAGGCCTCATGCTTTGCATGATTTGGTCCCATTTGAAGAGACTCGGACCCTTCTGTGGCGCCAGCGCAGGAACGTTGCAACAACAATTAGTGAGTGCACGGCGCACACCTGCATAGCAGTGCGTAGCATGGTAGGAGGCGAGCCAAAGGGCTTTGTCCAAGGAGTGGGGACAAATGCGTGGCATACACCGAGAGCACGAGATGAAAGACAAATTCTAGCTCAAGTTTGGGGCCCGCTGATTCTGGGCTGATACGGCGTTTCACCTAGACAACATCAGTACTCAAATCGAGTACCTTGCCAAGCAGCAAGTGCATGCACCCCGAAGCCGGGGGGTGCAAAGCCAAAGTTGCGCAGAAAGAGAGTGGTATTCGCTGGGCCCTTTGCACCAGTTTCATGCTCCAGAGCCCTGGCTTTCTGTTGGGAATCAGCGGCGTAATTATATAGTTTCATTGTATGCAGCTATTCACGTAGATCATGCCAGCATGAGCCATGGCCCAAAGGAGGAGCCTGCAGCTGCATACGAGTATTTCCTATGTCCGCTGGCTGTCTTTTGCTCAGGGGCCTGAAAACTGCAACTGCCTCCAACAGGGGGCCAGCAGGAATTCAAAAATTATATAATACATTGTAATACATACTGTAATACATATACATACTGTAATACATACATACTGTAATACACACATACTGTAATACACACATCCATACATACCTACCTACCTACATACCTACCTACGTACATAGCGAGTAGCATCGCCCCAGAACCTTGGTTGCAAACATGTTTTTGGAAAACCGTGAGTTTGCCAAAAGACTGCATACGATCTACGGTGAGTTTACAAATTCCCAAAACCTGTGAGCTTGCAGCTGAGCTGCTGAATAGCCAGATTGTGTGGGCCTCTTCGTGCATGTAGGGAGCCAACCTATACTTATATATTTGTTTTAGGAACTTCGTACCTTGATTTAGAGTTCTGTCCACTGTCCTGAACCAATCGATTGGCTATCGCCATCGCCATGTTTGCGGCCTCTTTTGTATGAGATGCCATGCAGGATCGGCGAAGGCACCAGCACTTGGCAGTGGGACTTTCTGGTTGCTATTTGTATCTGCGTTGCAGCCGTTGGCATGCGGATGTGACCCGACAGTAGGACATGTCGAGAGCTTTGGCATGTTTTGGCAAGCAAGGTTGGTCGGTAAGCCGGCAATGAGAGGGATTACCCTACAAGCCATCATGCTTTGCATCGCTTTCCAGGCAATCCGGCCTACCCTGGTGACCCGAGTTGGGGGTGGCTTTACCTACCGCCCCCTGACAGTGCGCAGCTGAAAGGTTTGCCCTTGTCCCTTGTCCACATGAGCTATATGAGTTCCTTGTTTTTCGGTCCTGCCGCCAAGGCTGAGGAAATGAACCCGAGATCTCATAGCAGCCGCGCACCCTGCTTTCTTCCTCTTCCTTGGTCATTATTGAATTCTCTTAAGTCCCCTGCGCACACCCAGTGTTCAGGCCAGCACCGGGAGTAAGAGTGATACGAACTTCAGCACCTACTGCCTCGTGGGCAATATCAAGCGGCTAGATCCGACCCTTTGTATTGTCCAACATGTATGTTGTATATTTATATATAAATCTTTTCTGCCCAGAAGTCAGTGCGATCATGGGAACAGAAGGCATAAGAAGGAAAATAGAGCTGCCTTTTCGGCTCTTCTCAGCTTTAGGTTCCCTTCTATCTTGCAGGTCCAAAGGTTTTTTCATCAGATGTTCTGTGGCCGTCCCGGCCGTCCCTACAAGATTGCTAATAGATCCACTGTGGATTCTGAACACCGAGGTCCGGCACTGGGCCGAGTGTATAGCGAGCGGCGAGGCAACGACAGAATCCGGGCGCCGTCTCAGGAACTGTATGCATCATGCGTGTCTCTTGCTGTCCTCTGAGACTGTTGACTTTCCCTCATTTTGATGAGCATGTCAACTAAGCTTCTAGTAATGTTGACACCGGATTAATCAACCCCCCCCCTTCAAGGTCAAGGTCAACAAGGTTTGGGATTGGAGGGGTTGGAGACCACATCCCCTTAATAGAGATGATGGATGATGAGATGATATTGAATACTAAACAAGACAAAATACAAGAGTAAACTACATTTTTTGTTTTTCTGGGGGAACTGGGCTTGATTAATAGGGGGGTTTCTGGCAAGGAGCAAAAATTATCAGGGGGGGAGGTTGCAGGGTTTTAATTAGTTTAGTATTGGAGGCTCCAGCTGGGCTTGATTAATAGGGGGGTTGGTTAATCCTGGCAAGGACGCTATTAGGTGGAGGCCATCGCTCGCAAGTAGGTTGGAGGCCATTGCTACTAGGAGCAAGAAGCTTCTAGGTCTCGGTTTGCATCCTGAAAATCTTGCTGGTGCTGAAGCTGTGCGCCAACCCCCATCTGTCCCCTTCTCACCTGCTGCCGGAGGTCGGCGCCGGGACCAGCCAAGGCGCATAGCTTTTGTAGCGCCGTGCAAGCCCTGTCCCCATAGCCACGGGGGCTTCAATTCTAGATTCAATAGTTGGATTCTATGGTCAAGTAGTCAAGTATGGTCAAGTTTCTGTTGAGTTACTGCAGCATCACACATGCCAATAAATGCGACAGTCTACTATGTTAAAAACATTTGAAGAGATGTTGGTGGTGAAGCTGCAGTGGTTTCTATGGCTCGCTTGACGCAGTCAGCCAAGACCTGAATTCCAAGCAAAGAGCTCACATTCAGTCGCAAGTAATTCTACTGCTCCTGAACAGTTCATTGGGTTCATGGGAGCAGCTTTTTTTCTGATATGATCACACTTGCTAGATTCAGACCCTGCATGTGTGCACATTCTTCAAGGCCCAAGAACTCTTTGTCACCCAATGACAAATTTCAGCACGCAAGAGCGATATCCTGGGACATCCTTCCAACTGCTTGGGACTGTCCTCGAGCCATGGCACCAGACAGCAGATACTTCATGCATTGCTGCTGGGCAATTCCTGCGATGGGTGCTCTCTGCGGGTCGCTGACGATGGTGCGAATCATTCAGCCTGGTATCAACCATTTTGAGTGTTAATTAACGTAGCGCTAGTGGCAATGACAAAATATGGATGCGGTCCACATGGTTCCTTTTGCAGAAAGATGATAGAATGCTGCAGCCATCAGCAAAATCCGTTTCTATCTGTTTCTGATTGAGGGTCTGATGAAGGTGGGTGCTGAACTGATTTCTCCTCTTGGCCCACCTCAGGCAAGTGTCTACTATTTGACTGCGACATCGGGACATTTGCCACAAGGATAGGGCCTGCTGGGATGGCAGTTTCAAATCAAACCTGGACAACAGAAAGCATACAAACGTGTATCATGAACTGTATATATTATAAATTCAACATTTTTGCAACATGTCTTTATGTGTGGTGGCTGTTGCACAGGGTCGAGCACTCCGCCACTATCCTTCATGGGCCTCCGAGATCCTGAACGTCGTGTGTATCAGGTGGGCTTTGCACTGACTGGGCTGCTTCTGGCCCAAAGCGTGCGCATTTGGAGAGCCACAATCTGGCCGTTATTGCGCTCTGCGGGTGAGGGCCTTAGCATTAGCATTGTCGCACACACAAGCAGGAGATGTCAGGAGGTAGTCACAGTTTATGATTTTTAAGAATCAAGCAAGCAACCTATAAGACTTGCTAATGTTTGCTGATTGGAAGAGGCCGAACTTGTGCCAAGTGCAGTCGGAACAAAATGTCAGAGGTCCTCTTGACAGTCATTGCCTAGGATTTGAGCAATGTGCGTACTATGGGTTCCTGGGTGGATGCCTCCTGGCTCGAGAGGCTAGCGGCTAGTCCAAAGTCCTGGGGTAGTGGTCGGAGTCTTCCAAACGAGGGATGTCATGGCACGCAAGATTCCTGGGAGTTCTTGCGTTGTGAGCTGTGCTCGCATCGCGGACACGGGGCACATTCAGTGAAACCCAACGAAATTGCCTTCGCCAAATCTGCCGAGGTTTGGCGGCAGCTGGTGCTGCTTTGCAGGGCATTGTGACGCTGGAGGCCGTGACTCGCTACCAAATCCGGCCAAATCCAGAATTCACCAGGCCCAGGTTTGTGGGTCAGATATGGTCAGATGAAAAGCCGAATGGCCGGTCTCGGGACTCAACCATTTGGCTGCATCAGGTGCTGCCAACGAAGCTCACCGGCAGATCATGTGGTGCTAGGGCGTTTGGGGCAACTCATGGTTTTGGTTTGCCCAAAAAGGCACACATACACATATAGATGTATATAACTATATATTATATATATATATACATACATGTAAGAGAGTTAAACTGTGTGGGGCTTGGGCCAAGCTGTCGTGCCTTGTGCGTGTTGAACTCGCATAGCCACTCCTGAAGGCTCACGCCCCTTCTGCCACGATTGTTCTTAAATGAGGATATCTTGGAAAAGATTTCCAGCCAGACTGCAGAGCTCAGCATCCAAAGAGCTTTGGCCACAAGTTTGGTTCTCACAGTCAGCAATTATCAGCATCAATTGAATGCATTGACTGAGGGTCTAGGTCCCCGTATCATAAGCCAAACTCAAGAAGACAGAAGCGCCCAACTGAATTGATTCTGTTGTAGAGGAGCATAATTGAGATTACAGATGCAGCCGCTGTAGCTCATGTTTTTGCCTCCATCACACGCCGGTGGAATTGAAAACAATTGAGTAAACTTACAAATCTGCAGAATGGTCCATGCCGCTGGTCAAGCCAGGCAAGCTTCACCAAGCATTCGCACTGTTTTTCTTCATCGGCTGCACAATGCACTGCCACCTGGCCAGGTTGCATGTCATATGTTGTCGGCAACAGCCATGTGACTCTTTTGGCAGATTCCCCTGCATGCGCCTGCCATATGTTCTTTGTGTATTGATTGTTTGACACATTGAATGTCGGATTGAAACCCTTCCAACTTTCAATGTCACCGTCTTCCTCACTACCACTGCCTAGGCTTCGCCATGACTGTTGCAGCTATAAGCTGTACAGAGCCACAACTGGTACATGCGTTGTGCTGGAGCAAGTGGCTCAAGGTGCTTCTACTGTCTACTGGTGCTTCCGTGACGTTTCAGCATGAAGACGAGCTAACCAAAGGCCGTCGTTTGCATGGCCTAGTGGGCAGGACACCCAGACCGGCTGAAAGGGAACACCATGGAACATCATGGAACACCACTTGACGGTGCGCACACCATTGGCGGATCAACTCCATCCCAAACATTTGCACACATTCACGGACTCTCTTACGTGCTTTCTCGCCCTTGCGCAGGTGGGAATTTCTGCTCTCACTGTGGTTGCAGCGCCAATTGCAGAAAAATTGCATCCAACAAGGCCGGTTTCCACAGAAACGGCAAGCGTGTTTGCTTGCGGCTGGTCAGCACACTGATGTGCGCTTGATGCATCCAAGACTAAGATCGTTTTGCTAGCAAGAGCCAATGCGAGAGAGGTGTGCCAGCTCACTTGAGCTGCCGCCAGGCAAACCAACGAGCAAAGCTTTGACGTTGCTGGCTTGACGCAGTATTTGACAGTAGGCCTGGAGTTTATTGGAGTTTGGCTTCACATGGGTCATGTCGAGATGCTTTGCCGGGAGAGCGCGTTGCTTCCTTTTCCTGGATAGGAATCTTATGTCAAGTCATTCGGAAATTCGTTGTTGCAAAGCAAAGAATCGAAGTTGCAGGTTTGTACGTCTTCTTCTTCGCCCTCTACAGACTCCTGGTGATGAATTCAAGCCGATCTGATGACCCATGGTAGGTTTTGGCAAGCGGACCGGCCCAAAGAAGGTTTCTATTTCTATTTTTGGTATGTTTGTTTGGGCTTCGCCGACGCAGCCGACCTGCTTCAGGTGTGGATTTCTATCGCCTGGGACGGGCAAAAGATGCCCACGACTAGCATCGACTAGCCGGAGAATCCAAGTAGCTGCCTCACTTGTCTTTGGTTGCTTATGTCCCAAGTGTCCGTGAGCCAATTGGGCAAAAGAGAAAGAAGTGCGGACTGCCAAGCTGTGACTGTCAAAAATGTGTTAATTAGGTCATCAGGCAGGACATTTGCTGCGGCACGAGCTATGTTGGGATTTGCACCTGTTATGATGAACCGATGGGCGGTCAGACAGGCAGGAGTCAAAAGAGTCCAAGCAGCTGTGGCCTGAGATTGGGAAAACACATGCTGAACGACTTCTCGGGATGGCTGGTCACTGGTCAGGAGCTGGGAGGCTGTCGTGGTTTGGCCGCTCTAAACTCTAAACCGTTAAACCCTGGCAATCAGCTAGCCACCTTAGGCCAGAGCTGCAGCTGGTCAATGAGGACAGACGGCTTGAATTCTAAAGACTACGCATCGTGGGCTGTCTGGCTTAGTATGCTTAATATAGTGATTGGCATAGCTGCAGCTGCAGTTGCGATGCCCACAATGTAGCCACGGAGGCTTTCGTTTCAGATCTCGTGCCAAAACTGCTTGTAGAATTTATAATTCAATCGTCTATATTGATCATCGTTTCCCAGTCTGACACTATTTGCAGAGCATACTTCTTTGCTCATTTCACACCATGGCACCATCTAACCGTTACCCGTTGGAAGTCGTAGCTCCATGGCACACCCCACGTGCCGCCCACTCCCTGCAGCCGTGACCGGCTCCGAGACCGGCTTGGAAAGCGCCGTGGGGCCATGAGACGGTGAAGTTTGAGCTTTGAGGTCAGGGAACCTGAGGGAAGGTTGGAGCGTCATCAAAGACTCAAAATCTCAGTTCGTTCGGGAAATGGTAGCTAGCTGCCAGCTAGCTGTTGGCTTTCAACGCAGCATCAATCCAAAGGCACCACTCTGAGAACATCCAAAGTAATTAGGTTGTGCAAACTCCCAATTCCAACTCTTTGTTCTGCCCACAGCGCCCCATTTAAGATAGACCCAAGTGGCTTAAGTTGACCCAACATGCAGGTCGTAATTCAAGTATTATGCTCGTTTTGCAAGGGCCGCTGCTCCTGAACAGCATGCATGCCGATCAAGTCTTTCTTAGACATCTTAGACACATCGACGTTGGTCGGCATTTTACCTTTTGCTGTCGACATTCTCTCTGGCACAGCTTACCTGCAAGAGCTGCAGGTGAAGCTGATTCCGTGTTGCCAACATGCCGCCGCCCCCAATGATGCAGCTTGGAGACATTGTACTACGACGTGTGTAGACTGACAGAATGCCTGCGACCTGCTAATCTATTTGTGTGAGTGTGTGGGCCATGCGGGTCATCCTTATGCCAACTGCTGTGAATGGATCAGGCACAACAGGGTACCATAGGGTACTTCCGGGTAGCTTCTTTTCTGGATCAAGTCAAAATCGCTTTTCAGAGCTCCTTTGTGGAGGCTGGATGTGGATGATGTGGAGGACTCGGTGTGCATGACCTGGTCCATCGACGAAAGCGGCACCATGCGGCACCGGAAGACTGGCACCAAGGTCTCAACCAAGGAAGGCATTACGCCCCTTGGACACAAGGCCGTTTGATCAACGTCCCTTCTCTTCCCGTTTTGTGCCCACAAGTGGGAGTTCTTCTCCCACGCACATTCGGGGAAAGTCTATTCCTTCCTCCTTTTTTGGTGGGTGGGTGCGTTTGTTGATGATTGTGGAATTGTGGTGTTCACATGCATTCACTTACTGCTTGTATACTGTAGTAATTAGTATGTATTAGTTAACTGTTCAATCGCTACAACTTAAGGGCATCCTGCTAGAGTCTCAGAGCACCGTGCCCAAATGGGTTACGCTATGATAGCCATGTCCATCAAGTCGTGGATTCGGCATCCAAGACCTGGGCCTTTAGCCATAGTCCTCTGTCACTGTACCTAAAGCATCAGAGAGTGTGAGGCCACAATTTACCTCTTCATACTGCATAGGCAGAGGGCATAGACAGACGGTTGGAATTCCACCACACGTTTGAAATGCTTCAAGAAGTTCATCCCTTCCAAGAAGTTTTCCCAGTTTCTTGCGCGCTAGTTTCGTGCAGCTCGCGCCGCGTGCTTTAGGTTTGAAGGAATGGAATATAGACTGTCGCCAGAGGACACCGCGCCAGGGGCATTGGACAAGATGCCTCGTGCATCATCAATGTTGCATAACTTTCCCCAGAAATGTTTCAAAATCAAGTACAGTGTTGAATTGCTGAAGCCTGAATCTAGGATTAAGATGGCCGAACCCCTTATAAGACAGGAGATTAGCAAAGTTCCATTTCTATAGAAAAAGTCTATTTTTGCTATTGAAAAAAGTTCAACCAAACATAGAGAGTTGCAAAAAAAGTTCAAGCAAACCTAGAAGGGTTGGAAAAAAGTTCAAGCAAACCTAGAACAGTCCCAAAAAAGTTCAAGCAAACCTAGAACAGTCCCACAAAAGTTCAAGCAAACCTAGAACAGTCCCAAAAAAGCTCAAGCAAACCTAGAAGGGTTGAAAAAGGTTCAAGCAAACCTCGAAGGGTTCCAAAAAAGTTCAAGCAAACCTAGAAGGGTTCCAAAAAAGTTACAGCAAACCTAGAAGGGTCAAAAAATCAAGTTCAAGCAAACCTAGAAGGGTTCCCAAAAAGTTCAAGCAAACCTAGAGGGTTCAAAAAAAGTTCTATCAAACCTAGAAGGGTTTAAAAAGGTCAATCAAACCTAGACGGGTTCCAAAAAAAGTTCAAGCAAACCTAGAAGGGTTATTTAAAAATGTTCAAGCAAACCTAGAAGGGTTCCAAAAAAGTTCGAAGCACACCTGGAAGGGTTTAAAAACACCTAGAAGGGTTCCAAACAAGTTCAAGCAAACCTAAGACGGTTAAAAAGAGCTCAAGCAAACCTAGAAGGGTTCCAAAAAAGCTCAGGCAAACCTAGAAGGGTTAGAAAAAAAATGTTCAAGCAAACCTAGAAGGGATCAAAAAAGGTTCAATCAAACCTAGAAGGGTTAAAACAAGTTCAAGCAAACCTAGAAGGGTTCCAAAAAAGTTACAGCAAACCTAGAAGGGCTCAAAAAAATCAATCAAATCTAGAAGTCTAGAAATCATTAAGCAAATCTAGACTTCTATACTAAACTTCATCTAAATTTTAAACTAAACTGACGGACGGGCGGACGGAAGGAAGAAAGGAAGGAAGGAAGGACGGAGGGAGGGAGGAAGGAAGGAGTGGAACTGGAGGCAGGGAGCTTGAGGAAGGGAACTGGAGGAAGGGAACTGGAGGCAGGCAGCTGGAGGAAGGGAACTGGAGGCAGGGAACTGGAGGAAGAGAGCTGGAGGCAGGGAACTGGAGGAAGGAACTGCAGGCCGGGATCTGGAGAAGGAACTGGAGGCAGGGAGCTGGAGGAAGGGAACTGGAGGAAGGGAGCTGGAGGAAGGGGACTGGAGGCAGGGAACTGGAGGAAGAGAGCTGGAGGAAGGGAACTGGAAGGCAGGGAGCTGGAGGAAGGGAACTGGAGGCAGGGAACTGGAGGTTGGGCGAGTTTTGGCCGAGGAAACGGCGAGGGTTTGGCGAGGGCTTGGCTGAGGGTTTACTGTTTTGTACACTTGCAAAACTATGGCTGTAAACAAAACGCTGCCCGATTTTTCCCGAGAGCGCCTGCGAAGGGTTCTTCGTAAAAAACATTTGCAGAACTACACCTCCTCTACATCTTTACATCTTCACCTCTGCATAATCACGTTCTCACCTATATCTCTGCTCATGTTCACATCTTTACATCTACATCTCCGCTCATCTTGACATCCTCGCATCTACATCTCCGCTCATCTTCATCTTGACATATCTACATCTCTGCTCATCTTCACGTCCTCGCATCTACATCTCTGCTCAACAGCTCACATCTTCACCTCTCGCTCTTCTTAACTTTCTCTCTTAAGGCCGGGGGCAGGAGCACCACGAAACGCAACCCTCTGCGGAGATCGTGCGTGTCGAGCGCACGAAATGCAGGCAAGAGTGCGATTTGTCTCTGTCCGTCGCAACCCTCTGCGGAGATCGCGCGTGTCGAGCGCACGAAACGCAGGCGAGAGTGCGATTTGTCTCTGTCCGTCGCGACCCTCTGCGGAGATCGTGCGCGTCGAGCGCGCGAAATGCAGGCGAGAGTGCGATTTGTCCCGGTCGCGGGCAACCCTCTGCGCGGATCGCGCGTGTCGAGTGCGCGAAATGCAGGCGAGAATGCGATTTGTCCCGGTCGCGGGCGACCCTGCGGGGATCGTGCGTGTCGAGTGCGCGAAATGCAGGCGAGAGTGCGATTTGTCCTGGTCGCGGGCAACCCTCTGCGGCAACCCTCTGCGGGATCGTGCGTGTCGAGTGCGCGAAATGCAGGGGAGAGTGCGATTTGTCCCGGTCCGGCGCAACGAGAACTGGCGACTTTGTAGTACGACATTAGTACGCGGAGAGTATCTGGGGAGCTGGAAGATGAGAACTGGCGACTTTCTAGTACTACAACTTTAGTACGCGGAGTATGTGGGGAGCTGGAAGATGAGGACTGGCGACTTTGTAGTACAACTTTAATATGCAGAGCAATCTGTGGAGCTGGAAGCTGAGAACTGGCGACTTTGTAGTACAACTTGAGTACGCGGAGTATCTGGGGAGCTGGAAGATGAGAACTGGCGACTTTCTAGTACAACTTTAGTACGCGGAGCAATCTGTGGAGCTGGAAGCTGAGAACTGGTGACTTTGTAGTACAACTTTAGTACGCGGAGTATCTGGGGAGCTGGAAGATGAGAACTGGCGAAGTTGTAGTACAACTTTAGTACGCGGAGTATCTGTGGAGCTGGAAGATGAGAACTGCCGACTTTGTAGTACAACTGTAGTACGCGGAGCAATCTGTGGAGCTGGAAGCTGAGAACTGGCGACTTTGTAGTGCAACTTTAGTGCGCGGAGTATCTGGGGAGCTGGAAAGATGAGAACTGACAATTTTCTAGTACAACTTTAGTACGCGGAG